GAATTGGTCCATTTTCTGCTTTGGATTTGAGGCTGTCACTGGGTCAAGAGTCATTGAGAGAACTGGGGGATTTATTCCCTGTGCGTAGGATATTGCTTCAAGGATGCTGTGGCATGAGAAGCTGCAGAGTTCTTTGCTCTTTGCTTAGTCTTAATGATACAGCTGAACTGTGAATCTTCTTACAGACTTGGAGATTGAACTATGAGCCCTGCACACCCCAGCAAGAAGTTTTTTAGAGGGTTTTGAGCAGAATTGGACTTTTCTGGTTGACTTGTGGTTTAGATATGCATGATATGGGCCTGGTGGGATGGGGAGGGTAGCACCTGGTGGTATGTGGGAGAAGTAAGCTCTGAGAAGTGTGTTCGTCCCATCACAGACACAAACAAATATTCAGTGCTGATCAGCTTGAAGTGGAGGAGCAGATGAAGGCTAAAAGGGAAATGTGTTCTGTGGTGCTTCAGTACTGCTGTTTGCCCAGAGGCAGCAGAGAAATAGCCCTTGTGGTTTCCCTGCTGGGAGAGGGGCTGGGTCCAGGTGGGTACGTGGCACTTGCCTCCCATGAGGGATGCGAAAAGCCTCACCAGGAGCCTCTCAGGACACTGCAGTCCCAGAGCCATCCTGGCAGCAGAGATCGGGCTGTTCTTCCCGAGATCCACTCGCCTGAGATCTGGTGCAGTGATCTCGAATGCTCTTAACTGCTGCAGTGGTTTGCAGAGCAGAAGAAGCACCAACTTACCAAGGAAGCATCGGATGGGTCACACACAGCTCCAGAGACATTGATACCCCAAGACTTTTGCTTCTTAAAGACATATCTTGGAGAACTGTTGCTGGGTCTCAGAGGTGCAGTGATCAACAAACCCTGAAAGGTGCTTCCTCCAAGTACTCAGGAGCTCTGGTGCATCAGATATGTAACTTAGTCCCTCCCACTCTTAGGTTGGTAATCTCACAGCTGGGCAGCTCTTTCTTTTGACACTGTAACTGAGGCTGTGGATGAAACAGAAAGTGATGTGCAGTGTAATTCTACCTTGGTGAGCATCTGACACCACAACATAGAGGTACAAACATTTTCTTTTTGAGTTACAAATTCCTTGTGTAAGTGAGGAGTTAAACAAGCTAATTTCCAGTCTTGTCTCTGCTGCTGTAAACCTGGAGAAACTCTAAAACTAGTTGGGGCCAAAGAGAATAAGAAAGTTGCACTTTGAAATGACTCAGGTTCTCATTCTACTGACATTTAGCCTCAGCAGAAGTAAACTAGGAAAAGGATCAATATGTTATTTCTCAACAGCTTTATTGTAAATATGATGGAATCCTTTTTGGTGGCTTCTGAGCTGTCTTTCAGCACCATTCGTTTATATAATTATGTGACTCCTCAGCCACATGTCTGAGGATGAAGAGTGAACCATCTCTTAGCTACCAGGCACTATGAAAACCTAGCAAATGGAAAAGCCAGATGTCCATCTAATACAGGGAGTGCATGTTTGCCAGAACCAGACAGAGAGAGGAAATTGAGAGTGATGCATGCCCCAAAACATACCATATTGCTTTTTCCTTTATGGACAATTTCTACTTCTCAGGCTGTAACCACATTAACCTCACTATTACTGTCTGTCGGGGTGCTGAGTCACTTACATTCCCATGGCTGTAAAAATGTCAGCTGTGGGGAGTGGGCAGAGCATAGATTTCTGCAGGGGCGGAGGTCCTCAGAGTAGCTGAGATAGATGGCTGGGGTGGAGCTGCGTTAATTCTTACCCACAGCTTTCAATTGCATTTATTTTAGGCACGAGGAACCTCCTCCATCTCTGTGATTTCAGCTACTACCTTAATGCTGACTTCCTGAGATGTCCCCTTCCCTCCTGCCCTCCTGCCCTTCTTCCATCTCCTGTTTCTGGTTCCCCCTCCCCTGCATTTCATGTCAGCTGGTTTCCTGCTGGGTGAAATGCACATCCTCCTCTTTCTTCCCATTCCCTCCCTTCTCCCTCACCGTTGGCTGTTTTCCAGTCCAGCAACCTTGACCTTATCTCTGATTCCTTCCATTTCCTCCCCTCCAACTAACACTATCGGTGAACTTTGCCCATTTTCCTCTCCTCCATCCTCTGAAGGCTGGCCATGCATCCTGCTGGATATGTTGTCATTCCTTTCCTTGCTGACTACAGTCCCCTTTTTTCTGGCCTTCTTTATGTATGCCTCCGTGCAGGAAGCTGATAGGAGTTTGGCTGAAGCTTTTTTTTTTTTTTTTTGCTTTTTTTTCCAGCAAATTGCACTGAAATCGATGGGAATGAAGGACTTTGCCCCCATTTTTGTAAAACTCTTCGCATGTCTGGAAGGAGCCTTTTCTTAGGGTGCAACTGCACAAAAGCACAAAATGTAATGATGAATTTTAAGCCACCCTTAGCAGCGTGGGTACTTTTACTTGTTGCATCCTACCGTTTCAAAGAGCAGGGATCCTTGCTTGCTCCCTGTTTTCTTCATGTGCACATTTGTCCTTCTGTAGTCTCACGTGGTGGGGAGGTCTCTGTTGCTTGGGGCAGAGCGGCCAGCAGCGTGGTCATTGGGTGCACTCACCACTGCTGATGATGGCACTCAGCTGTTTGGACATCTGTTTCGGTTGGCTGCGGGTTCTGGCTTCCAAGCTAAGGATCAAGGATTGTGCTTTGAGAATGAAGTCATCTGTTACTGAGACTCCAACAGCAAATTTTGGGTCTGCCTCCTTTGCTGCATCCCTCATCCTTGAACGTTACTTTTCTCTTCATCAGTCAAATTCTCTACCTGCGTTCAGGTGGAGCTCAGCTGATTGCTCTTGCCGAATTTTAGCCACTCATCTGAGAGGGAAGGTGACCCTTGAATGTTTTTTTGTGTGATATGATGTATCCAGTGCATCGCTCTGCTTGCAAGATTACTTTTATCGTGTCAGTGTGATGATCAGTTAAGTATGATCAAGCTCTTTAGGAAACATTTCTCTCTAATCATTCTGGTTTCATTTGTATTCTGTAATAATTTTGAGAGCGATTACAATCACAGAAATGCTTTGTAGCTCATTAGTGACTTCAGTTCTGTGAGGAGAAGCTGCTACTGCCTGTCATACAGAGACCTCATGTTCTGCACTAGTTTGGTCAGAAAACTGTATTTAAAATGTTGTCTGCAGCAGAATCTGACAGAAATCCTTTTACTTTGTGAGACTGCTCTAAACTCAGAAGAAATATTGGATGTTAGACCTTTGCTTGGTATTTTCTGTGTTACTTCTGAAGAGGACTGTGGGGGAAGATCCATATGAAGTGGTTCGTGGCCACAAACTCCTGAATATTCTGCTTTCAATTGTCACAATCCCAGTCATGTATGGAAAGACAGCTTTCATGCTCAAGCCAGAGGAATTATGCATATACTGGTGTATTTTACCTTTGCGGGAAGCTGATTCTGGAAAGACTCTGGTGCATTTACCAGCCCTGTGAGAAAATGGTAACCCATTCTGCAGTTTTAAGTTGCAGCTATAGACTGGCTGGACCCAGTCCCTGCTGCTCCCTCCACAGGTTTTTCTGTGTGATGTTATGGACAGGATGGCTGAGGACATGTCCTCAGGTGGCCACAGCTCCAGCAAGCTGTAACCCTCTGCCAGCAGGTCCAGAAGCATGCCCAGCCTGTGAGTGTCTCTTTGGCAGTTCTCCTTGGACAATTATTGTGAAGTCTAATTTTCCTTTTTCTGAGATGCCTGTCTCTCAGAAGGAAGGTTTTGTATCACCAACAGCTCAGTTTCTGAAGGTCGGTATTATGAATCAATGGCTGTTGGTCATGACGTGAGTTAGGCACCGATCAGTAGCCCAGGCGTGAGATGCTCCATGCCTTTCACGCTATTTTTGTCTGTAGCCTAATGGATTGACCCATCTTTTTCTTTAATGCGTGCCCATGAACACTTTTATCAGTAGAAAGGCTCCCACGATTTAAAACATTTGGGAGAATGAGAGGTGGAGAAGTGCCCCTTTGCTAGTTCTTTCTGGCACGACTGGCTTGCTGGCCTTGGCTTGGAAGGCAAAGTGATGAGATGAAGCATAAAACATGCTGTGTTTTTAAATGTGGAAAAGATGAGAATGAAGTGCCTCGTGTGTTGTATGTGAAAGCGTTCCTGTGATGGTGCTACATGCCGCTCTGCCATCCTAATTTGCTTTCAGAGGCTCCCAGAATAATCATTCTTTGTGTTTCCTAAAGGATGTGAAGACTAAGTACGAGTTTGGTCAATGGTTTCATTGTTGATTTCTCCCACTGCTACAAAGCAATGCAAAAATATTAGGGACAGGCAGGGTGCATCTTGCTGAATAAAGATATTGTGTCTCTCATAATCCGAGTCGGATGCCTTTAAAAAAGGAAAGCCCTATGAAAAGTGCTTACAAGGCGGTTTGGACAGTAGAAATCTTTTGTGAAATGTGATTTCGGCATCTTTCCCAATGGGATCCTTCATGCAGGAGGACTGGCCAACATTTTGGGAACAAACCCAGCCAACATTAGGTTTGGACATCTGCTTGTTTTAAGGTTGCTTTCACAATTTTTTCTGTAGCTGAAGATTGGTACTTGATGTCTATGTGAGAATGTTGCCAGAAAAGCAATGAAGTTATGCCAACTGTTTCTTTCATGAGTGCAGCTTCTTAGAAATGTCCTCTGTATGCTAGAAAATCATCTTGTTTGCATTGCTTCCTTGGCTAGAAGGACAAGAACCATTTGATCTTTTCCTTGTACAAAGTCATCCTACATGAGCAAAAAATGTTTCTTAAATCAGTTTAGCCTTAAACCAGGGTGATCTCCTGCCTGAGTACATCTAGACTGAGTGATGGTAGCTTAAATGGCGTTAAATCAAGTGACTTGTGAGGAAGGGGTAGTGGTGTCTTTTATCTTTGCAGGTGGCTGAAGGGGAATGAATTTGAGAGAAGTTAGTGCTCAGATTTCCTGGATGTTTTCTTCCTCCTTGCTTAAATCCACCAAACGGAATTAGAGCATGTTTTCTCTTTTTTCAACAGGGACCAGCTCGCATGACAGCTGATCTCGTGTCTTCTCCTGCAGCGGGATATGTCCCTGTTGGCCAGAAACCAGAGGCCGTTGTCCATGCTATGAAGGTAAGGGCTCTGCAGGTCCCTGCGGGGCCGGGCAGTGCGGCGCAGGGCAGTGCTGCAGCAAACACCAGAGTGGCAGAATTGGACGCTTGCTCTTCTCTTTTTGACTAGAAATAGAAAGTTGGTACTCAGGCAGAATATCAGTAACCAGCACCTGTGTCATGTTGAATAATTGTTGTGTCAAATAGTTGCTGAGTTATGCAAGATCGTGCATGACTTTTTCAGTTGAAAACCTCCAACAAAAGCTGCTGATGCTGAAGGTGTTGGTTACCCTTTGCATTCATGAGTCCTGCGTAAACTGGGTCTCTGGGTGACAGCGGTGACCGAACTGCTGTTTTTAAGGGGTACACCAAAACTACATTTCCTACTTATGTTTTGTATTGAAAATCCTACAGCAGTCTTCAAAGCAGAAAGGCTTTATTTTATGTAAATACACAGCAAACCATGGCATCGTGCCCATGTAGATATGTTTGTCATCAGTGGGGATTAAAGTCAGGACCACTGGCAATAAAAAATAGGAGACACTGCTAGCTGAGTTAGATGAGCAAACCATGATTTCACAGCAATTCTCAAGTCACAGTGACCATCCATTAGGAGGAAAAATGTGATACCCTGCAAGCAAGTTACTTCTAAGTATTTAAGGGCCACAGAAGCACAAGTCCTTTCCAAGGTGCCGTGGGGATGGCTAGAAAGTCTCTCACTAAATTAGACTCTGGTTGGAATATACCGTCTTACAGATTTGGATTTACTGAAGCTGAAAAAATTTGGACAGGGTTAAAAAACATTCATCAAATCACAGAAGGTTTCCTAGATGGCTGCTGTGGAGCTCAGATCCTCATGGTCATAGCTGGGAAAAAATGTCCAGTGGTGGCATCAGCACTAGTTTAGATTATCGTAGAGCTTACTAAGCTCTTTGCTTTGCACCTTTCCACATGTGACAGCTACAGAACTGGTGCAGATGTTGCTCATAGCTTTGATCTACAATTTCCTTAGATTTTCTAGTTTTTTAGTATTTTCAGCTTACTTTTTTTGTGTCTATCCAGGATCTCTTGGCTCCAGGACAGATGTGGCAGGTGGTGGTGGTAAAACCAACAAGTGTCAGGAGAAGCAGTGGTGCAGATGGCAAGGATGTTAGTTCCACTGCTGCAAGATCCTGGGAGGATACTGTCAGTATTTCTCAAGTAGTTCATCTTCTGTGCCTTTATGATTGTGAGGAATGAGGAAGGGAAAGACAGGTTTTAAAAAACAGAAATTTTGATTTTTCAGCTTACTTGAGGCTTTATATACTCAGACTGTATAACTCTGATCAGATCTGAAGAGAAGGGTGTCCAGCATCATCAAGAATAGAGCTTTTACTAGTTCCCAAAGGAGCCCTGACTGCAGAAGTGGCAGTTCCCTTGCCTACGTGTATTTGTCCTGTGATTTCTAGAAGAGTTTCTTCTTTGCTTGTTGTGAGTGGTTCTGCGCTATCAGAAAGTTGCTGTGCAGCTGTCCTGTACTGTGCAGCATTGTGCTTGTGGGTGATGTTTCACCCGTGTATATATTCATACAGTTCTGCTGAACTGATGCTTTGCAGAATGTTGCAGACTCGTGCGATACCTTTGTTTTTCTGACACTTTGTACTAATCCAGTTTCCCTTGCATTTAATCATCTGAGCCCCCATGGAGTCTGACTACTACTGTTGACTTTTTCTTCCCAAACTGTGGGGTTTATACCTTTCTGCTCCTGCTCTTCATTGCATTTGGTGAGCTGGTGGTGAGGGACAATACTATTAAGCAGAGTTGATAATGCTTTTAAGTTACAAGATAAAATAGTTAAAAATTGATTATGAACACATTCTGGGGGAAATAAGGTCCCTGTTTGCTTTAGGAGTTACAGAACTGTATTTCTTAGTAAGTACAAGAAACTTAAATGGTTTTAAGGTGTGATTTGGTAAGTTTGTGGAAAGGACTGGAAAATTAATGAGGAGCATTCTTGGAAACTGCAAATTAGGTTTGGGAGGTCTGGCACAATGATGCATATGAAGGAGTTGAAAGGAAGTTGCGTGACTGGTTGTCTGTACGTAGTAGTATTATTACTGTAAATCATCATCATTATCATCATCATCATCCTCTCCTCTGTTGATCACTAGGAAGGGCTGGAAGTAGTTTTCCTCTGCAATTTCATATTTTGACAGCTGGGCTACATTTGTCGGTCTTCAAAACCCTGGAAAGTGCCGTGGCTGGGGTCAGGAAGTGGGTGACACCGCAGTAACATCTCACAGGGCATAACTGATCTCATGTGATGTGTCCTGCTCACACACTTGGGGTTAAAAATACTCTCACATTCAAAGCAAGGAGGAAATTCTCCTGTAGGTCAGCATGGCAGGGAGGAGTGAGAAGGTGTTTATTTTTCCATCCTGTGGCCCATTTCCAAGGATCAACTGGAAACTGAAAAGACTGGGAAGTATGGTCATGGTCTCGGTCTCTCCTCCCCGCTTCTTGTGGCACAGTGAAATTGTGGCTGTTGGTCTCCAGCTGCAGATATTAAACTGGGTAGAAGGTAATGTTTTTTGGCCATAGCATGCTGTAACATATGGAGTAGGTCTTATTTGCACCCTGCAGAACTGGGCAGCTTTTCCAGTGCCAGCCCCTGCATATGGAAAACTGGATGCGGCTACCAGCTTAGACCCTCACCGCCTGTGATACAGCTCATGACCTTCCCTTGAGGAGGAGAAGAGTAGCCTACAAATGAGACTCTGTGCTTTGGCTAAACCACATGAGATGTTAGAAAAAGCCCTTCTTGATTGTGTAAAGAATTCCTCATGGCTGTAGCAGGCCAGCTCCTTACCAAGGACAGGCAAAAGCAAGGACAGTTGGAAGTTGGCTGTGCTTGTCTTGCGGGCTGCTTGAGTGCAAGTGTGTCCAGAAGTGGTGCGGCTGCAAGGGTGCGGCTCTGTGCCCAAGCAAAGGTCACTGAGAGGCCTGGCACTCTGCACGGATCTGCAGGGCTTCTGGATTGCCTCCGTCTGCACCCACATATGTAACATCCCCTGGGCTTTTTCCTTGGCCTTTTCTGGCAACCGGACGCTAGCTATGAGGCTGAAGTGTTGCCTGCCGTTTAGCGTAAGTACATTCTTCCTTGAGCACATTTAGGGATTTTCTTTATGCTTGCTCCTGAAATAGTTTTTGTTTATTTGCGCCTACTAAATAAGGAGCAAGATGACAGGTTGTCATTCCTAACAGCTGTTTTTGCTAACGAGAATAAAAGGTACATATGCTACAGCTCAGTATCTCCCTGAACATCAAAGCACTTTTCTTAGGAATTGAGCAAACCTGCTAAAGACGTGGGGAGGTGAGGAGGAGATAAATGTACGAGAGCGACATTTAGCCTATAACCCAGCTGCCTCCACCACAGCAGCTTGGACCTCTCCCATGTGCACAGAGCCATTGAGCAGGTAATCAATCACTCCCACTGATGCTGGGTAAGGAAGGATTTGGCCCTGCCAAAACCAGGGAAAAGTCCTGGCAGGGGCTGTTCCCTTGCCAAAGGAGGATGCTGTGTTCCCCAATGCTTTGTCCAGCAGCCTTATAAATCAATGAGATCAGTGAGGCTTGCACCCTTCAGAAAGCACCCCTGCTCAGGGAGTCTCCCTGTGCCCGAGTGGCTTGGGCTGCCCTCACTGGCTGGTGTTTTACCCAGGGAGATCACGCAATGCCAGCGTGCCTGCAAAGGGTACTTTGTTTTCTGTAGGCTTCTGTGTTGGGAGGTGGCAGGACCCGTGGCAGGACATATCGCAGTTTCTTAGCTACACACTGAATCCACAGTCCTTGAACTTCAGCTGAGCCATAGACAATGTCTGTGAGGGCACGTCCCCAGTCCCCAGTGGCGTAATCGGAGGAACATTATCCTGGTCCTTCTGAACAGCTGAGGTGGCGCCTGGCAGGATCTGAGAGTGGCTGGGGCTGGGTCAGCACTATGAGGCCTTCCTGTCTCTCTTCAGGAGGTGATTTCACTCTTCAGAGTGTATTTTTTTCCAGCTTGCTTTTCCAGTATAGGCTGTTAACTTTTATCCGCTTGAATCCTTTTTTCCTGTACCCAAGATGCTGACACATCTTTACAAAGTGCCTACCCAGGTGTCGGGTGGGCCTGGAGGGCAGGACAATTTCTGAAATTCAGAAATTAAATACAACCGTAACTTCTGTCTGATCAGCTTTCAGCTCCAGCTCTGCCTGGTTTACATTGTTAAAAGACATCTCCACTGAAAGAAATTGGCTGCGCCACCTTTCCACCCCTCCTGGACTAGGCGGTGTTTTAGTTTAAGCGCAAGTCATATAAAAACAGTTTATTTTCTGTCTGCTGAGACTCTTGCGCCTGCAAGATCGATGGCTGGTGGGAGCAGAGGCTGGAGTTGGTGTGATCTTTAACTAATCTAACCCATGGCTGTCCTTGGGGCTTGCCCTGTGGACACAGGCAGCGCTCAGCTCCCGGCCAGGCAGCCCTGCGCTTCGCACAGGGGTGTGATCCCGGCGGCTGCTGTCTCTGCAGCCCGGTGTCGGAGGCACCCTGACTCCAGACGGGTGAGTTCGATGTGCGAGTCCGGCTGGATCAATAATTAATTCCCTCCTCTTTAGCGAAAAATAGATGCTCTCTTTGTCAGCACGCACATGCTTTTTGCATCCCTCTTGCCCTTCCTCTCCTCTGAGAAGGGATGTGGGTAATTCTTATTTGTGCAAAGATCGGTCCCAGCTATGTTGGTTAAACTAGCTGGTGCATTTTAGAAGTAGGTTAAGGGCCCTAGGAGAATGACCTATTTTTGTTCATAGCGCAGTTCAAGTACAGCAGGATTGCTGTGCCGAGGCAGACCAGGGGATAATCTACCCTGGTATCCCGTTTCATGGAGCAGCCGGTGCTGTGTGCTTCAGTGAAGGGCAAAATCCATCCTTTCACTGCATCTCTCTAGCTCCCTGGGAGGTGTCGGAATATTTACGCACATAGACGCACCCACCATACAGCTTCACGTGTGTGTGGATGTATCATAGTGCATAAGGCCACATCCTGTTCGGTGGCGTTAGGTGATTCCAGGAGCTTTGTCCTTGCCTGCTGAGCTGACCAAGTTGCTCCTCAGTGGCAGAGCCCCGGGGGCGTATGTAGGTCAGCACAGACGCAGCGGTGAAATCTCGAGGCCACCCTGCGCTGTGATACGCCTGAGTCGTGCAATGCGCCTGCCCGCAGGAGCTGTCTGAATGCGTGTGGATGTGTTGGAGCAGGAGTTCTGTGGATCGGTGTGTTTCAGCGGGAGGTGAAGCTGCCGTTAGCCCCAGGCAGCCTTACCTCTGTGATGGGGGGCAGAGTGGATGCAGCTGGGCATGGCCAGGGGATCCACGCTTGAGGAACACATCTCCGAGTGTCATCTGAAAGAAGGAGGTTAAAAATCAAACTTTTTTCCATTTTCTAACATCATCAACTTGAAATCTAAGAAAATAAATCACATGCAGGATGTTTCTACTGTACTTTTGTGGTGTCCCAAGCTGTTTTCACAGTAGATTTACTTGTCTTCCCAAGGCAAATCTGCACATGTGGCCCAGCCACCGGCATGAGTGGGGGACCCATGAACCTGAGCACTGGAAATGTCAGGTCTGGGGTGTCAGTGCCAGGACTGGAAACTCTGTCTCAGCAAGAAAACCTAGTTCTTCTCAGATCCAGGAGTGTCTGCTGGAGATGGTCTCTGAGCTGCAGAGCCTCAAATTCTTCCCCCTACTCATTATCAGACTGTTTCTATGTCTTTGTAGCCACATCTCCTGGTTTTACAGTGCTTTCCTTCCATTAATGTAATGGGAAAAGCCCTGCAGCCATGAGCAGGAGGGAAAGGAAAGCTGATGCCTCACTCCTCTGGAGGCTCTTGCAGGAAAGGTGCTGCAGGGATGTACCTGGGCTCACTGCCTGTAGCCAGGGCTGGAAGATAGGAAAATGGAGCTGCTCGTGGAGGACCAGACAGGCCTGGCACTGGCACTTTGGGCATATGGCCAGTATTCATCAGCGTTTGTACCAGCTGAACTCACTGAGCAGCCCGTCAGTGTCACCCTACAGCCCGGCTGTGGGTGGGGGTGCAGGGGTTTCCCTCACCTTTACGGGGCATGCGTGGTGAGTGGAAACGGTGCTGATGGGGATTAAAGTAAAGCTTGGGGAGTTGCGGTGATTATCTTCATCTTCAGAGGACGGCTGTGGCGCAAGGAGAGGGTGACCCAGATTCACTACAGTGCTCAGTGGGGACGGTGCCCTCAGAGGGCTGCCATCAGCACACGGGGTCCTGGGAGGCAATACTGATTTTTCCCTGCCCCGTTCTCAGCCCCTTCACAGTGTGGCTGCATCCAGCTGGGAGACGGAGTGGGTCAGAGCCGGGACTCAAATTGGGATCTCAGGGCTCAGTGCTAACAGCCTGTCTCTTGCTCACTTGTTGTGGGTCTCTGAGGGGTTTCCTTGAGAATTAAATGAGTTAAAAACCAGAAAGAGTGAAATTGGCCATGTCTAAGGCCTGGAAGTTCATGGCTGACTGGAGACCACATACTGCTACACAGTGGGTAATACTCGTACTTTTTAGTGATACAAACCTCTGTTTGCCTCTTTCTCTAACAGCTGAAAAACCCTGGTGGAGCTAAAATCTGCAGGCCTGGGCTGACCACAGTTGCCCCATGACTCAGATTAGTAGAAGGGAGTGGAGAGGCTCCGCTCCTGTGAGAGAGGAGAATGGATTGATGGGGAATTTCCTTGTGGGAGTTGCCTGGAAGGTGGGGCTGCCATCAGCATTCCTGGAAGAGATGTCCTTGTGGGCACAGGCAGCTGGTGCCACCTCTCCCATGGTCCCCCAGGACTGCTGTCCGTGCAGGTGGTGGGACAGAGGCATGCCATTGCCAGGGAAAGGAGAGGATGGAGGAGCCCAGCTTGGTGTCATGCGCATCTTTGCAGTGCTCTGCCTCTCAAGGTTTTGTGAATCCTGCCAATTTAAAGACCGGTTAATGAGGTTGTAAGGGACACTTAATTATTTGAGGAGCATAATGCTTTCATAATATTGTTTTTTGTAGGTCCTTGAGGTCCATGAAAATTTGGACAGGCAAATGCAAGACAACTATGAAGAAGACCTAAGTGAAAAGGAGAAGGCGATTGTTCGTGAAATGTGCAATGTAATAACTCCACTCAGCAACTCCAGGGGGTTTCTTTTGTTAGTTCAGAGGAGCAGGGGTCTGCTGCATACAAGCCCTATTTGATGTGAGACCCAGAGGCACAAGGGAGGAGTGGAGGCTCTGCTGACCACTGCTCTTTGGATATCAGCAACCTGAGTGCCTCATCCACTGCACGGAGCAGCCTTTGCTCAGCAGATGTTTCTCGCTGCTGCCTTCAAGGGTGCAGAGGCGCTCACCAAGCTGACCAAGAGCTCAGAGTCCTGTTAACAACTGATTCCAACTGTGTCCTTGGGACTCGGTTTGGGCTGAGCAGCAATTATTTTGTCTGGTTAATGCCACATTCCCTTGTGGGCATGCAGGGGGAAAGGTAAAATGCCCTAACTTCATCCTCCCAGACGGACTCATTTCTGGTAGTGTATCATCAGCTGTTTTTTCTTTAAATATTCATTCTGTGTAGACTTAAGGCGACTATGAAGTGCTTTGCAGTTTCTTTTCTTTTTTTTTTTTTAAACTAGCCTCCCTTACCCCAGTGGCCCTAGAGTGATAAACTGTATGTTTTTAGAAAATCATATATATAATTTTAATCATTATCTTTTTAATTATCTTTTCTGTTCTTGGTAACGTTTATGTAAGCATGGTACGGTTGACCTACCATTGAACTTAATTTGTGAACCTAGTGTATTTGTTTTATACTGTTACCCCAGGCAAAAATGGTTCTAATTTTAAGAGCGACTAATTAGAAAAATGCATCAATGGGTTCCCCCTCCTTGGAAACTGGTGCACAAATGCCACCCAGTGGCTCTCCTGAGAATTGCAGCCTGGCTCTGAGAAACGGCTTTTTTTTGTTACTTTTTTTTTATTTAGGGACTGCCGTTATGAAAACATTGCGACTCATCAGAGGCTTTGGATTTTTGTAATTCCTTTCTTTCTCCTCCTCAATTTTTTCTTACAGGTTGTCTGGCGAAAGCTGGGTGATGCTGCGAGCTCCAAACCCTCCATCAGGCAACATCTTTCGGGAAACCAGTTCAAGGGTCCTTTGTAGGAACGACCATCCCGGAGGCTGGAAGTGATTGATTCTGAGAAGACTAAAGAGGCAGAGCTCAGCGTTTCTGGCTGCCTGTTCTTTAGGAGTTGGGGTTGAGTGTTTTCAGGGTTTCCTATTTTTCTTTTCTCACCTTGGTTTGTTTTTTTTTTTTGTGGCTTTTTTTGTAACAATAGTGTAAATAAGGCAGCTAAAGGCCTGATTTCCAGGCTGTGGTGCTCTGGAACTACTGTTCAATGGGTAACCATCCAATAATGCCAGACTTGCATCATTTATATTGTAGTTCAAATCTGCTTTGTTGTAATGGTCTGTTTGTAGAATTAACTAACTTGAGAGAATTTCTAAGAGGAACAAGAAGAACTGTTTACCTGCGGAGAGAAGTCACAGTTTGTATCGCTCCGGTCCACTCGCTTGTCAATGATTTACAGCTGGGTTAGTGGCTCCAGGCAGCAGTTTCCAAGGAAAAAGCAATTCAAATCCGTTGGCTTACTGCCTGCCAAGCTCCTGAGCTGCTGACACATTTTTTGGAGATCTTTATTTTGAAGAATGACATGCAACTACTTTCACTAGGCTCTGTGTACGATATTGAGTGGCAAGCTAAAAACCCTGGTAGCCCTCTGTACGTCGTATGGTGGTACTCATCGCATGGGCACGCAGAAAGGCTTGGGACTCTGCATCTGCTGTTAAGGAACTATTTTTCACGAACAAATGACACAAGATTTCTGCAGTCGTAATGTGAATGAACTGAAGTCACTTAGCCACGCACCAGTATTCCCTACAAATATCACACTTTTCCTGTAAAGCTTTTACTACAAAATAATTCAGCAGAAACTGCCGTCCAAACAGGGCTGATGGCTTCCACAGGATGTTCAAGAGCAGCTCATCTTTCATATAAGGAAGATTGGGGTGGG